CCCAACCCTACAAGGTCCCACCCACAGTCTGGCCCCTAACTCGGTCTCCAGCCTCACTTCACGCCCTTCTCCTCTCTGCTCCTGATGCTCTCTATGCTGCAGCCTTTTCAGGGTTCCTCAAATAAGCCATGGTACCTCCTGCCATAGGGCCTCACACGCACATGTTTTCCTCTCTGACTGCAACTCTCCTAGCCACACCTGCATCCAGTTAACAGCAGCTCTTCAGATTCCAGACTAAGCACCATCAGTTCCTCAGGGAAGCCTTCCCTCACCACACACCCCACGTCTGGGACAGGTACTTCAGTGACATGATCTCACAGAATATGCTCCTTTCCTCAGAGCATCTATCACATCGTCTCATTTAGAATTATCCCCTCATGTCTGTGATTCCTGGTTAATCTGTCTCCCCACTCAGACCATAGGCTTCAGGAAGGCAGAAATGATGTCTGGTTTTGCTCTTCATCCTTCTCCCAGCTCCTAACACAGTTCCTGGCAGATAGTAGTCACCCAATTTGCTGAATAAATGGATAGATGAATGGATGGATGGATGAACGAGTGAATGAACGAGAAAAAAGAGAGAATTGCTGACTTTGGTTGGGTGGCTTGAAGTTTCTTGGGGTTAAAATGTATAAATAGGGAGTCAAAACCAGACACAGTTGGGTAGAAGATGTACATGGTGGCAACTAATAGAAAGACTTTCTCCCTAACCACTGGCAAGGGGAGTGGGGGGGAAGGCAGCAAAGCAGCATCAGCAGTCACAGCATAGCTGCCAACCTCACCACAGAGGACCAAAATACCTAAGTGCCAGGCCTTAGAGTAAATGACAATTATTCACTTCACAATCAGGAAGAAATGTTGTGGAATTAAAGTTGGAGTATATGCTTGAACTGGATTTTATTCTCCAAGGCCCTGAGGTTAACCAACTGGAATCATTTTTTAAGGACCATTCTATTTAACCTTTGGAAATGAAGCATCTGCCTTTTAATGGAAAAACTACTTCTCGTAAAGGTAGCAGCACACTATGTTCTTGCTTCTTTGGTCTCCAGAAAAGAAAAGTCAGATATCTCTTGTGTTCCCACTGTATCTTGAACCCCCTATGTCAACAAAATAGTCCAGATTAATAGCTAACTTTTTTTTTTGATAATAAGTAGAAAGTACCAGCCAATTTTGAGAACTACTAGGCAGGGCCGTCTACATAGATGTATCTGTCCCTCAAGAAGTCGTGGAAGGCTTAGGAAGCCACAGATTGAAGGGCCCACATAAGCAATCTCAAAGCCACTGTATTCAGACAAGAGGCCAAATTTACCACGCTTGCAAAAGTTCTGTTCCTCAAAAGGCATCAACAAAGTGTAATTAGGTAATCAATCAATTAATCAAATATTCCTACTTGGCACAAGCCCCTGCTGTGAGAGACACAGTAAAGAGAGGTCCCTTCCTTAAGCATACTATAACCCAACTAAAGAACTGAGATCTGGAAGAACTAAGACGTCAGTCAACAGCACAAGGCACAGACTGGGTGTCAGCAAGTTCAGACAGCCCACAGCCAACAACACTAATGTCCATCGAGTATTTACTCTATGCCAAGTGCATTACATGCATTTTCTCATTAAATCTTCACAACCTTTGAGACAGATATGATTACAGTCTCCTTAGAAAAGTTGAGTAACGTACCCAAAGTCACAAAGTTAAAAAGTGATGTCAAGCTCAGGTCTATCTGATTCCGAAGCCCATGCTCATAACCTCTGAGTCCCTGGGGCTTGCAGAGTTCAGGGAGAGCTTAAGGCTGGCACAGAAGGCAAGGCTTGATGAGGAAGGGGGCTCTGGGCTAGGCCTTAAACAGGGGCAATTCTGAGATAGGACAGAGAAGGAGAAAGGTTGAGGCATGGAGCTGTGGTGGAGAGATGGGGGAGAGAGAGGACGGATGAGAAAGGGGAAAGAGAACAGATCAAGGCCAGCAGCTTGGATTCAGCCATCTTGGGGTGAGGGGTGAGTGGAGATACCTGCCTTGTAGGCTGTATCAACATGCCCCAGCCTTCTCCTTTCTTGTAAAATACCATATTCCTATGCAGAAAGGCTTGGAGAGGAAACTGGGAGAAGGGTCAGGTGGAAAAAGAATCTGGCTTTTCCTTTGCCCTCTTTCTGCTCCTCTCTTAGCCCCAGTGCACTCCACCCATCCAGCCCACAGTCCATGCCACACCTTTTGAGTCCTACCCTCCAAGAGGGGCAGCATCTTGGCCTGAGGTTGCCAGATAGAGCCTGGTTGGTTCCAAATGGAACTGGAACTCCACTCCTTCCACTGGCTGTGGGCTCTGAACCAGAGGGGTGTGTGTGTGTCAGGCTACACTCACTCTCCCGATCAGTAGACAGGCAACCTTCCAAGGAAGGTGGGGCCAGTGCTGTGGCATAAGCAGAGTTTCATTCTTAAGCTCTACCACCACTACACACACATCATTTCACATAGAAATACCCTCACTGCACAGCCTTTCATTCATTCATTTGTTCATTCACTCATTCAACAGGTAACTATTGACTGACCATTTCAAGCAAGGGACTGAGCTAGGCATTGGGGGAGACAGCCTCAAACAAGATGTGGTCCCTAACCTCAATAGCTGTATCCTCTGTTGATGATGGGCACAGGTGACAGATGGTCAGGAGACAGTAACTGCAATGAATGTTAGGATAAAGAGGAGCTCAGGAGGCTCCACAGCATTCCAACTGTTCACACGGCAAGCTGCGTGTCTTGTTCATTTCTGTACCTCCAATGCCCACTACTGTGCCCAACACACAGTAGGTACTCAGTGAATTTTTAGTGAATTAAATGAAGATCCTGCTGGAGCTGAGCCCCAACTCTGTCTCTCTGCAGCTTCTCCTCATTGGTCTCAGCCCGACAACTGGCATCCTAAGCCTGGATGAAAAAAGATAAGGATACATGGCAGTTCTTCAAATAGGTCGCAGTATGTTAGAGTTGAGAGGAACTGGACAAAGGTGTCTGTATCACCTCCCTCCCCTCCCAACCATCAAGTCCTCACAGTTGGAGTCCTTCATGAACCACTTGGACCTTCATGCTTTCTTAATTCCTCCTCCTTCTGGATGCTTTTCTAAGAATACTTAAATTGGTCAACAGCCCTATTAAAACTCAGGAATCCAGATCTTGACACAGAACTTCTGACTGAGATATAACTTCGGTTTTCATGTGCTTCCTCAGAGGTTCTACCCTGGCTGGGCTGGTAAGTAGTGGCAAGAAGTCTGATACTCCCCCAGGCTTTCTCTTCTGTGCCAAAAACCTACCTACAAGAATTGGAATGTAAATCTTTGGGGACGAGATGGTTACAGAACTCCTACTATTAAGTCATAAGGTGCTTGCTCCTCCATCATCCTACTTCTTTCTCCAGTGCTGAAACAGCTGTGACTCCCTGTGATAGAGGAAGTCCTTTCTCCTTGACAGCTCCAGCTGGCTCCATGTCAGGGAGCCACCTCCTCTTCTGAGACAATGGGCTGTAGAAACAGCCATCTTGGCTTCTGGTTCTGGGTCTTCCCACACCACTAGGGCCTTCTGTAGGCCCTGGGGTCCTGGAGACGTAGAACTATTCTGGGGAAAGCTGAGAAAGAAAGTGAAGAGGACCTCTGAGGAGACTGAGAAGTGACTTTGCATTTGGAGGACAGTGGCCCTTGAGGCACAGCAGGCATCTGAGCTGACTGGAATGGGAGGGTGCTGTGAATGGGTAACTAGGAGACATGAGGCCCTCTCAAGAAAGGCAGGCTAAGTAAAGTCCAGAGGGGCCTGGCCAGAGTCCCAACACTTCAGCTGGAAAGCACCTCAGAATCAGTCCAGACTTGTCTTGGCGCTTGCTCAAAGTCCCCCAGCAGGGTAGTGGCAGAGTGGGGTTAGAACCAGGTCTCCTGGGCCAGCCCCATGGCTTAGCGGTTAAGTGCGCACGTTCTGTTGCTGGCGGCCGGCGTCTGTTTCTCAGGCGCACACGACACGACACACCGCTTCTCCCGCCATGCTGAGGCCACGTCCCACATGCAGCAACTAGAAGGATGTGCAACTACTACATACAACTATCTACTGGGGCTTTGGGGGAAAAAAGGAGGAGGATTGGCAACAGATGTTAGCTCAGAGCTGGTCTTCCTCAGCAAAAAGAGGAGGATTAGCATGGATGTTAGCTGAAGGCTGATCTTCCTCACAAAAAAAGAAAAAAAGAAAAAAAAAGAACCAGGTCTCCTGGTTTCCGCTCTGGAGTTTTTTTTTCTCATCACCTGCTGCCTCCCAAGGATGGATCTCATGAGAGAGTTCTTTGCCTGTCGAATCCTAGAAATCTCCCTTCACAGATGACTCCTGCTTGCCCGGCAGGGCTGGGCTTTTCTGCTTCTGACCGGAGGCCTTTTTAACTCTCCAATGCCAACTGTCTCCCTGTCTCTATCCATCCCCTTCCCGGGAAAGATGGAGTGGGGTGTTAGGTGGCCACGTGGGGCCCGGTGATGTGGGAAGGAGTGACAGGCAGCCTGGGAGCCAGCCCAGCAGTAGACCTCCCAGGGACAGTGGGCACCAGCCTTGGCATCTAGGCATGCTGATCCTATTTTCCAGAGGGCCGTGTGGGGGAAGTAGGGGGTGGAATCCGGTGACTTCTCAAGCCATAAGAATTCCTGCCCTCCCCCTCAGTCTGACCCTCCCTCTGCCTGTCTGGGCCACAGCAATACCCACGGGCAGAGCGGCGAGAAAAGGAGGCAGAGGCGAGTTTGCTGGTTTGCTTGGCCGGGCACGGGGAGCCTGAGCCCTGCCCGCCCCTCCTGCGCGGGCTGTCTCCACTCACTCCTCTCCCCCCCTCTGTCCCTCCGGGCTGCTCGAGCGCCACTGCTACTGTCCCCAACCCGCCCCACAAGCCGTGCCAAATGGCAGCGTGACTCACGGCCCTGCCACCAGCCCACGGCTTGCCCGCAGCGTATAAAGGATGCCCGGGCGGGAGGCGGCCGAGCCCTGCCCGGCCCGGCCCGAGGCGCACAGAGCATGGCCCGAGGCACGGAGCGAGGCCGCGGGGGCGCGGGCTGGGGGCTGCGCGGCGCCCTGGCCGCGGTGGCGCTGCTCTCGGCGCTCAATGCTGCGGGCACGGTGTTCGCGCTGTGCCAGTGGCGCGGGCTGAGCGCGGCGCTGCGGGCGCTGGAGGCGCAGCGGGGCCGGGAGCAGCGCGAGGACAGCGCCCTGCGCGCCTTCCTGGCCGAGCTGAGCCCGGCGCCCCCGCTGTCCCCCGACCCCGGGAGCGCCGCGCGCAACAAGCGCAGCCACGGCGGGGAACAGGCGCCGCACATCCGCGCCGAGAGCCACGACATGCTGATGATGATGACCTACTCCATGGTGCCGGTAGGCGGGGGCTCGGCTCCCCATGGCGCCCCCGCCGGGTGGGCGGCGGGCAGTGTGGGGAGAGAGCCCCGAACGCCCTCTCCTCCCCTGGCCAGATGGCGAGGTGCTGTGCAGAGAGGGCCTTGGGTGTGAGCCTGGCTGGGGATGTCACCTTGGCCAGCACCCTAGCCCTCTGGGGTCAGTTTCTCCATCTGTTAAGTGGGGGAGGGGGTGAAGGGGTAAGTCTTCACCACTGTACATCTTCCACCACTGACGTCATTGAGTCTGCGGGCAAATGAGGTGTGTAGGCAGTGTTTTTAAGAGCCTACTTTCCCTCTTAACTTTGGACCAAAGCTTTCACTTTCCAGTGTGAAGGGAGCCACAGCGGCCTCCGGGCTCTGCCTGTGCAACTCGTCGGGACCCCCAGAGAGCACGGAGGCGGCATTTCTGAAAGAGCGCCGGACTCCTTCCCTGGCATAATCTAGTGATCTGGCTTTTCACCTGGCCTCGGCCCATCCCCACCAGATTGCCTAATAATCTTGCTTTAAATGAAGACAATCAGCCCTAATTTTACCAACCGCCTGCGGCCCTAATGCGGCAAAAGCTGCTCTTGGGTCTAAAGCCGTTCCAAACGGGAGAAATCAATACAGAGCGACTTGCTTAAAATGCAGTGTCAAAGCTGAGGTTCTTAATACAGGCTCCAGCGAGTCGGTGGGATTCCAGAAATCGCCAGGTTGTGTGCTGGCGGCGAGTGCATCTAGAAAGAGTCCATAGCTTTTCCTGAGATTTTCAAAGGGGCTCCATTGCCCTGCTCCGGAAAAGCTGAAGAAACACTGCTCTGAAGAAAATCTTTAAAGCACAGCCTCAAATATCTTTTTTTCCAGTTTTAAGTTTCCTTGCTTTTGCTGATTTTAACTCAGTAATTATCTAACTATTAAAAAACCTGTAGATCACATTGCAGTTCTCCATTCCATTTCACTATCCATTTCAACGGCTGTGGTCTTATTTCACTCCGTAGTTACAAGGATTTCAGTTGTATCACCTCCAGTCGAGTGTGAGCCATGCTTTGGAATCCTAGGTATTAGAAGATAAAACCACTTAAAGCTTCTGTTTTCATAGAAGCTTTCAAATAGCTTAAGTACTTTAAAAACTATATGGAAGTACTATCCACTTCAAACACATCTTTTGATAGAGATAAATTTTCCATTCCTGGCTTCATTTTTCACTCATATTATTTAAAAACTTGGGCCCAAGCAAAAATTTCAAAAACCCTCTGTAATGAAGAAATCATCTTAGGGGAATTCGCTCTTTCTCTTGGCTCTACTGTGCATTTTGAGGGTTTTTTGAAACCCTCCAAGAACGGATGCATCTGAGCATCAACGTTTTATATTTTTAATCCTGCTTTTAAGGTAGAGGCTTATATATCTAAATTACAGCCTCTTCAGTCACTAACCCAACAGAGTGGAGAGACTCATTTCTGTGTCAATCTGAAAGCTAGATTTAACTGCCACCACCTGCTCTCTCACAGGTTGGAGAGCAGAAACATCACATTTGTCAGGCTGAGAAGCATTTGTAAATTATCACCAACTCCTCCCTCACTTGCAATGGCGATGTTTGACCTTCTAGAGTCACTGTGGGAATTTCCATGCAGGCCAGGAGAAAGTAACCATCACATTGCTGGCTTTCCTCTTAGGAGCAGTTCTCAAACAGTAGACTTAGAGATCGCCTGGGAACACATTAAAAATGCAGATTCCAGGGCCCCACCCTCAGACTTGTACAATCATATATAATCTCCAGAATCGACTTTCTTAAGAAGTCCTCTGACCCGCATTCCCCCACCCTCCCACCCCCTTGGTGAGTTTGATGCAGGTGGTCCCGTGGCCACACTTTGAGAAACGCTACTCTAGACCACTACTTCTCTAACTTTAATGTGCATATGAACATCTTGCGGATCTTGTTAAAATGCAGATTCTGATTCAGAAGGTCTAATTTGGGGCCTGAGAGTCTGCATTTCTAACAAGCTCCCACTGATACCAATGCTGCTGGTCTGGGGACCACAGTTTGAGTAGCACAGTTCCACAGCAGTGGTTGCACAGTGAAATCGTATGGGGAGTTCTAAACATGACTGATGCCTAGGTCCCACCCCCAGAGATTCTGAATTAATTGTTAGGGGTGCAGCCTGGGGGTGGGCACCCACTCACCAGCTGGAAGGACAATGGCATGCCTTCCTGATGACTGTCAGCTGGGTTAAGCATCTCACTGTCAACCCTTGAGGCCTTTGCTTCGGGCAGAGGTACCAACTTTATTGCTGAAAAGCCTTTTACTTTATATTATATTATATATTAGCAATTATTCTCACCATTCGCCTTTGCAAGTTTTTCTCATCTTTACTCTGTTTTTTCTCAGAACAGAGAATTATTCACATGAGGAAACAATTTTTAAAAAAGAACTTTCACGGGGCACCCCTAGTAGAAAAGTTGCTGGGGGAACTATTTAGTATAGAGCATGGAGGTCAGCATGCCCACTTCTCACGGTTGCAGTCTTCGCCTCCCCTCGACCTTTTCTACAACACCAGTAGGTCTTGAATGAGGGTGAGATCAGAGGTTCCCCCACTGAGGTCCCATGTCCTTAGAGATCTAGGAACAAAGACATGAACTGTATGCAAACTAATGTCAGCATTTCAAAAAGTCTTGTGAAATGGCTCATTTATCCAAGATGAGCCTCCTCAAGCTGACACTTCAAAGTTCTGTGCTTTTGGCTGAAAGTACATCAACTCAGCATGGTAATTCTGGTTAGCACATTCTGACCAGAAACTGGTGGGCAGCTGTAAATGACTTTGTTAAAAAGGGCAACATACCTAATTATTAAGTACTGTTAGTTTGGTACAGTCAAACACATTAAATCTTTAAAAGTAAGTGGGTACTTGGAAGAAAAGTAATAAAAAGGGCCCTGGGTACCACGGAGACCACGGAGCTAGACCAGGAATGGGAACTCATCTGCCAGGAACTCCTACGGGAAATGCTACTTCTGTTTAGTCTCTGCCGCTGCCCCACCCCTCTTCTTCCATCTCCCACCAGATGGGATGAGAGCTGTTCTCTCTCATCCCATTCTTCAGGTCTCCCCTTTATTGATGTTCTGGTAGCTTCCTTGTCCTGCCCGAAATCTAGCGTCGAGCACCCAGTAGGAAAAACTTTTAATTCTCATAATGTGCACCTTAACAAGCTCTAAATGGATCAAAGGTTTACATTTTTAAAAAATGAAACTCTAAAATTACTAGAAGAAAATATGAGTAAATACATTTTTAACCTTGGAATGAGAAAGACCTTTCTTTCAAACTATAACTCAAAAGCCAGAAGCAAATAATAAATAAATAAATTTAACTACATTTAAAAAGCACACACAACAGCAACAAAACTTCTGCATGACAAACAATGATAAAAACAAACACACGCACCATAAACAAAGGCAAAAGATAAATGCCAAACTGGAAAAAAACGTTTGGCTCATATCATAGATACAGGGTTAATCTGAATATATATAGCATTCCTAGAAGTCAATAAGAGAAAAAACAAGAATTTAATAGGAAAATCAGCGACAGCAATAGGAATCCAATAGAAAAATGGAATGGACAGTTCTCAGGAAAAGAAACGCAAATATCTCTTAAACGTGTGAGAAAAGATCCCTTGATTTAAAAACACAAATTACAGCTGCTCTGAAATTTTCATCTGTCAGAATGCCAAAACTGCAGGTTTGACCATATATTCCGTTGGGGTAGCTGAAGGAAACAGACATGCTCTTGCATCACTGTTTGCTGTTTGGAGTGCAAAATGACAACCCATGTGGAAGGCAATTTGGCAATACCTAAAAAGATTACAAATACATTTCCCCTCTGACCCAGCAATCTCACTTGTGGGAAGTTATCCTGCTCAACAGACTTGATCACATATGAAATGACATATGCACGTAGTCGTTTATTACAGAATATTTGTAAAAGCAAAAGATTATTAACAGCACATGTCCATCAATACAGGATTAGTTAAATAAACTGACCTATACATCCGCTGGGATACTAGGTAGCTGTAAAAAAAAGAATGAGGAAATTCTGTATGTATTGCTATTGAAACAATCCCCAGAAGATATTTTAAGTGAAGAGAGCAAGGCAGAGGAAAATATATACTGTATTGCCTTGTGTAAGGAAGAAGGGGAAAAACAAACGAAGAAACTAATAAAAGTGCTTACTTAGGGAGGGTGGGGATAAGGTGGGAATGAGCCTTTCACTGTGTAGCTTTGTATATTATTTTGACTTTTGAACCAGGTGATTGTGTTACTTTTGTTGTGCGTGAAAAGGCCATAAGGTTACATGGCAGCTGCCATCAGGATGGGGGGTGATAAGGCATGGTAGGGACTGTGCCAGCCTGAGGTTCATGTACTCTGTCTCAAGGAGATGCTCTTGCTGATTTGTTGCTGTACAAGAACCAGAGCCCAGTGTGCCTCATCTTATGATTTTTTTTCAAGAGAAGTAAAAATCTGACTTTTTATGTGAAGTCGCTTGGCTTTTAAATATTGACAAAAATTCCAAAAATTTTTTTTAATTGGCTGACAGTGTGTTGGCCAAACAACACTCACGTTGTTAGGGGCTGTGTTATGAATTCCAAGCTTGGTTTACAGCAGTCTCATCATATAATCATGAGTGGTTTTAAACAAAAATGGTTTTATTTAGCTCAACCACAACCGCCCGCCCCCCTCCCCAGCCAGTTATTTCCCAGTCTGATTCTGAAAGGATAGTAGTAATTGTGCCATGGTTATTGTTATTGTTGGTTGAGTGGAGATGTTTTTTGCATTTGGTTTGGTTTGGGTTTTGTTTTGTTTTGTTTTTTGGCTGTTTCTAAAAACTCCACTTTTGGTTGATGGAGATTTCCATCACTGTGGCTTTTCAAAAGCATGTGCTCCAATTCTGAGGGTAGTTCCCAAGGGTAGTTCTCCAACTGTGTTAAGCAGTAATGCATCGTTGTAAGAATCAT